TTTTTTTTTGGCTTTTCATCCTCAAACTGATGGACAAACGAAATGGATGAATAAAATTTTAGAACAGTATTTGAGGTGTACTATCAACTATCATCAAGATGATTGGCCACTCTTTTACTATTCGCAGAGTTTGCATACAATAATTCAATACATTCTTCTACCTAACAAATACCTTTCTTTGTTAATTATGGTTATCATCTATAACTTGATACTTTTGACTTTTCAAAAGTTGATAATCTTGCAGCAAAAGATTTAGCAAATTATTTGTCAGAGCTACATGCAACAATAAAGATACAATTAAAAGAAGCTCAAGGATGGCAAAAGACCAACATGGATGCCTATTGCAAGGAGCAACCACAATTCAACATAGGTGATAAAGTATTATTACTTTGTTGTAATATTAAGACTACTTGTGCTTGTGATAAGTTGGACTATTATAAACTAAGATCTTTTTCTATTTGTGAACAAATTAATCTTGTTGCTTATTGATTATATCTATTGGAGTCTATGAAGATCCACCCTATATTTCACATGTTCTTTCTTGAGCCATATAAGACAATGAATATTTTGAGAAGAAGACAAATGCCACCTCCTCCTATAGAAGTAGATAATGATCAAGAGTTCGAGGTAGAAGAAGTCTTAGATTTAAGATGAGGTTGAAGTAGGTTAGAATGTCTTGTTCATTGGCAGAGATATGATATTAGTGAATGCACATGGAAGCCATCAAAGAAACTTGCAAATGCAGCAAAGAAAGTTGAAGCTTTTTATCAATTAAATCCATCAAAATCAAGATGAAAAATAGCAAATCTTTGCTATAAAAAAAACAAGATCAAAGGAAGATAACATTCTACCTTCTATCTTTCTTTGTAGCTTGTGTATATTTTTGATGCTAAGGAGATGGAGAACCAACAAGCAGCAAATTCAATTCAACAGCTTTCATTTGCGGATTTACCAGATGAGACATTGTGATTGTCACAACCTTCAAGACAATGGAATTGAAATGAAGATCTTCAAGAACAACATGTCCTTCCTCGAATATATGGAAAGATACAATATGTTTGGTATTACGTCCTTGGAAGAAACTTCCAAAGTTTGGTGATTTAATTAGAGGTAGGAACAACTCCTGACGGTATTCCAAATATTTTATTTGAAAGAAGTTACGAAGGCCTCAACAATGACTAAATAACAAGGTGGTCTTCTTGCCCTGGTATGGAATACTATTGATAGCTGAGAGGGCCTATCAACCATTTTCAAAGAGAGCAAAGATTAGTTTTGTGGTAAATACAATTTACTGCATCTTGAACTTCGTCAACATATGAAGATTGCTCCTCATGGAACTCGTTCCTTGAAGGGGGAGTAATATCATAGACATATATATTTACTTCAATAATTACTTATATAATTAAGTAGAAATAGATAAATATAGATTAATTTCATAAAGTCTTTTAGTGAAGCTTTCCAAAAGCTTCATAGACGTGGTTTTGACTTTAGATATGTTTGTAGATCATAAAATTGGCCAACAAATTAACCACATGTTTGTAGCTTGTGGAACAAGTTAACTCTGCATAATAGCTTGTGGAACAAGCTGACTATATGGCACATACATAAATAACTTGCTTTGCAAGTTAAGACATGTGGCTAGCAAAGTCAACATGTTTTAGACGTCCTATAGGACATCACCACATAGCTCCTAGTTAAGAGTATATATGGAGGCAAGAATAAAGTCTTCTTCACTCTTATCAATATTGTTCAAGTCTTTAGTCTTATTTCGAGACTTTTTAGTCTTCTTGTTTTTGGCAAAAGCCATTCTACTTAATATTACATTACCTTTTGAATGACTTTCTAATTCTCTTCAGTGACACAAGAGTGTATCAAGGATTCTCTTTCTTTGAGATTCATATTCCTGACATATATTTATTAGCAATGGTAGTACATTCATTACAACAATTTGAGATTAAAAGAAATATAGTAATATGGTGGAAAAATTTATAAAATAAATATTGAAGGGCTTGATGAAAAAACAAGTTTGAAGTTGTTTGTCACTTATTCTTATCACCAACAAAATTTAATTCATGAACTTATTGAGGTTAGTAAAATAATTATAGAAATGTTAAAATATTAGAAGAAGTTCGATATCAAAAAAATAGAAGAGTTTGATGGAGATGAAAACAATAGTAACTACAAGATTTAGAAGATATTAAGAGTAAGCTTTGATAATTTAAAAATTAAAGAAAAGAGTATGTTTATATACATACATATATATATATATTTAGAATAATATATGTCTACAAAGCATTTCAAAAGAAAAAAAATTACAAATGTGGGCCAATAGCCAAAAAAAACATATTTGAACAAGATTTATAATTTATATTAGATACATTGATTTACCAATAATTGGTAAAAGTAGACAAAGATGGAATTATAATTAATTATTGTACTTTTAGATATAAAATTAAGATCATTATTGATATCATTAAGAAGTTTGTTGTTTTTTAAAAACTTCAAAATAAATTGGTATTTAAGCTTGACATCATTGCTAAATGAAATAGATAACTTTTTATCTTTAACTACTTTTGATTTGAATTATTGCTTAAAGTAGACATCATTGCCAAATGAATTGGACAACTTAACATCTTTAACTACTTTTGATATAGATGGATACTTAAGGTTTTTATCATTGTTAAATAAATTAAGTAGGTTTACATCTTTGACCACCTTAAGAATAAGTGTATTTTGAAGCTTGACATCAATGAATAATGGATATAGAAACATCACATCTTTGACTAAGTTGTTTATAATCAATGACTAAAGTATGAAAAAATTACTAAATGAATTGGGTAATTTCACATCTTTTACTATCTTTGAGATATAGACATGTTTAAGCTTAATATCATGGATAAATGAACCTCGCATCTTAGCATCATTGATTGACTTGTTTATAAATAAATGCTCAAGCCTGATATTGTTGCTAAATCAAATAAGCAACCTTATTTCTTTAATTGACTTGTATATAAGTGAGTGCTCAAGTTTTAACATCATTACAAAATAAATTAGACAAATTTACATCTTTGACTACCGTTGATATAAGTTGGTATAAAAAGGTGACATCATTGCTAAATGAATTGGACAACCTCATATCTTTAATTACCATTGATATAAGTGATTGCTCACACTTTATATTACTATTAAAAGAGTTTAGCAACCTCACATCTTTAATCACCTTTTATATAGCTTCACATCATTGTCAAATGAATTGGGCAACCTCAAATCTTTGACTACCTTTGATTTATAGAAGTGCTTAATATTGACATCATTGCCAAAAGAATTCAACAATCTCTCATCTTTGACAACTTTTAATTATGATGTGGTATTGAAGGTTGGTATCATTACCAATTGAATTGGGCAACTTCTTGTATTTGATTACCTTTGGTATGTTGGAGTTTTAGGATTTAGGATTACAATAAGGATTTAAAATTTAGGCTTTAAAGTTATATGGATGTATCTTGATTTTTAACTTTTTTTTTTTTACTTTAATTTGATCTACACCCTTTCCTCCTTCTTCTACCTTTTTTATCTACAATTCCAATAGGATAAAATAACTTGCTCTAAAAGGTTTTATACTTAAGATATATCAACTTTAACTTAAAATTTAGAATTTTGATCTTTGTTATAGAAGGATTTTTGAGAGTTTTGAAAATACTATTGAGTCTATTTAGAAATTGCACTTTCAAAATATATTATTGAATTATTTTAAAAGTATATAGATTTGTAAATATTAAAAGATTATTTTTTTTAAAAAAATTGCTTTTGCAAGTAGATAAGATTTTATAGGTTTTGATTTAATCTATCTCATACTTTAGAAGTTTATAAGTCCAATGGTGGACTTAGAATACTCTACAAGTTTTTCAATTTTTAGATATACGACTTTTAACTTGGAAATTTTATCTACTGACTTTTTTTTTGCTTTATCTTTTTAGAACTTTAAGTTGACTTTCATTCTTATTTTTAATGCTTTTAATTCTAATGGTTTATTTAAAATCTTCAATAAGTCTATAATTTAGAAGATATGAGATTTTCACAATTGAAAATTAGACTTTAATCAATATATAGAAGAAAAAAAAAAATAGTATACATAAACTTATTGACATTCTAATACAATTTTAAAATTTTTGTATTTAAGTTTTGAGGTATATATAAACATATTTTGGGCAAATAAGTTTAGTTTGAAAAATAAATTTTTATGTTTCAAATTAACAATATTCTTACAATGTAAATGCAATTATATTCAATATGTAAATCTTGTTTGAAAATCCTTATTTATTACATATATTGTTGTACATACTATAAAATAATCATGAATTTTTAAAGTATAAATATAGTCAATTAAGACATCTATATTAAAATACATTAGACACAATGGTCATATACCAAATAAATACAACTATTTTTTAATGAACAATAATTTTGCACAATATATAGGTTAGCAATAAATATATATAAATATATAGATATAAATGCACACAAAACATTATCCAAGGTTCTTATACCATCTAACACCATGCTTTATTTTACAATATTAATAATAAAGTAATTATTACACATAAAAAGTACCTGGTAATAGTGTAGACTTGCTAAAGCATCACAAAACAGTTCGGTCTGGATGATGTGAGAGTCTTGAAGAGCTCATCTAGACTCGGCCACTAAAATACCTGCTACAGCTTCGTTATCAATCGAACTTGGAGGTCCATTTTACACCCCAATTTTGCAGATGAAACAAGAAGGAAAACTCAAAAGTTGAGAGTCTACTGCATCCTCCGGCCACTTGACTCTCAACAGGTTATCGACACAAAAGACACTAGACAACGACCGTAAATTAAGTGTACAATATGAACTGTGTTGCTGTGTTGTACTGGGTTATTTTCTAAACCTGACTATAGCAAACTCGACTAAGTTCATTTGAATGTCTGAACGCTCTGCCATCATTCAGTGAAATAGATATATGGCTTACAAGCAAACTGGGTGCCACCCTGCCGTAAAGCCAAGGCTGCTGGAGTTATTCATTATTTGCAAAAATAATAAAAAAGTAAAAATACAAAATAAAAAATCCATGCCGCACTAGAATAATAGCCCTCAGAGAGAATTCTTGGGGAGTGCCTGAATGTACAATAAGTAAGAAAGAAGGGATAACTGTGTCAGCCGAATCCCAGTGACAAATATACTCGAAAAATGTCGATGCTAATTAGACACTTAGAGAACTGTGAGAATTCACCTAGAAGCCTTGTAACTGGAATAATTTAGAGACTTCAACGATAATTCTTATATGAAACTCAGCTATTGTGGGTGTAGACAACAGCCAGCCTCTCAATATCGACGTGAAGGCGACCGAAGTTCGCCTTTACAGATGGCTCCCCAGTTCCACTTGACCTGCAGAAGCTAACAAGCATCCTTTATGTGGAAAGTGCAGTATGAAAATGAATTAAATGATATACAAATGGACATCATGTCAACATGCAACATTTTCAAACCATTAATGATAACAGAAAATGGACAAATACTTCTGGATTTCAGGTTATCTGTAACCATTAGGAATGCGTTCATAGAAATATAAGCACGTATGCGTGTTCTGAGGGTAACATAAAGGTTGAAGCCACTAAGGAAAGCATAGCAAAATGATCCCATAGAGATACAAAACGAAGGATGAATATTACAGCTAGTTCTGTACTTGTAGTTTAATAGAGTTCTGTTCACGACGAAAAAAGATAATCAAACATAAATGAGGGATAAATTCTCATACCCCTGAAGTTCGGGAAATTCATACTGGGTATTCCAGTCCACGTTAACGTCAAGACCAGGAAATATTGGCACCTTTGTCTTCTGACAAACTTCAGGTACTCCAGGTAGACCAAACGCCGACGTTACCTTCCACTTCCAGCCAGTGGAATTCCTAAAGAAATCATGTCCAATCCCAAACTGTTTACACATGTTAGAACCGTGTTAAAAATGAACTGCAGTTTTCAAACACATTTGATCTGTTTAACAGATGATTCTGCGCTGATTGAATTACATCACTGCAAGTAACCCCACAAAGACAGAATTATCTCAAATCTGAGTGAGAATCGGAGAACAGCAGCAGGAGCAGGAGCAGGAGCATTTAAAAATGAAATACCTGGAAATTAAACAACGAGCCAAGGGGGATCTTCTTTGTGAGTATCCGCAAATCTTTTTCTTTCGGTTCACATATAACTTTCCAATAAGCAGTCTCCGAGGAAGGTTTCAGGACGAGCTTAGTATGACAATCATCAGGGCTAAAATTATTCAGCTTCATCCTATCGACCTGCATTCCATCGAACTGACGAAAACCATTACACTTCAGTGTTAACGCTGTCCAAAAAGAACCGTCGACAATTTGCACGAAGGCGTCTCTCAAATGGCAATCAGCATATGATACTTGTACATAGCTGCCTATCTAAAACCAGGGGCTTCTGAGGAAACGACCGCATCCTCCCAAAGAATGATAATATTGCTCAAAGTTGCGAGCACTAAGGATTCACTTCAAGTACCAATATATTACAGGCTCTATCACGAATTGTAACCTGAGATTCTGCACGATAAAAGAAATCATAAAGAGTTGTAGAATTGAAGCGATTGCAACACAGAAATAGGTTTTGGCTTTAACCTCGAAATTGGCCCCCAGTTGGACCCCTTGCACCCGCTGTCGGAATTTGATAATAAAAGTCTTGGGCATCACCTCGATATTGTAAAATTCTCGAAGTGTGTGGTGCAAGTCTTTGCAAGTAGCTCGAAAGCCACGAGGATCGTCTCCAATGGACGATGCGCTTCCTTGAGGACGAGAAGAGGAAGAGTCATGTCCCTCTCTCCGTGCTAGCCTTCCATTCTCCATGTCTAAATTCCTTCTTCAAAATCGTGCTATCCACAACTCCAATCTATACCCTAATTCTGTTACAAAACCCCGGTTGCATACTTCAAGAACTACTCACCACCCTAAAGTAACACATCCATTCCGTCTCAAAACGGCAACATAAACTCAAGCGAACTTCTGCCTGCTAACCGGCTTCCAAATCCACACAGGAAATCTCACAATGCCGCAAGATTTCATGGAATTCATTATAATCGTATATCAGAAAATGTAGATTCCAATATCATTTCACAGATCTAAATATATACACATCCCCGGTGCTGGAAATTTCGGCAGAACTAATAAGTGAGTGCTTACAGTCCGAGACGTGCGACCCGAAACACTGGTCAGTGCGCAAAGCTCGAAGTTCAAAAGAAACGAGCACACAACAAGTCAACGAGGATCACCCACCTTGATGCGCGTGACCCATATTCAGTCGATCGATCTCAGGCTATAGGGTATGAAGCACGGTACATAACCTCCGGGTATACACGATGGCAGTCTGAAGTTGCAACATAAGGTGCAAACGTAAGGTGGCGGCTTCAGATTGGCATCAGTGTCAAGTGGCTGAGGGATTCACCGTAGCAGAATCTGAACAAAATATCAGTTCTAGCAAGCATGAAATCATCAAGTTGCGACTTAAGGTACGTAAGCACAACCCTATTCTCAAAATCCTGCAATAGCATTCCTACTGAGTTGTTTCAAAGTTCATCGTTGTGTGGTATTTCTGGATTGATACCACGTCTGATGGGAGCAGGGTATGCTGCTGAATTGTGATAAAAATCGGTTAAGTTTTATTAGTTGAAGAAAGACATTTGTGTACCAAAATGCAATAGCTTCATACAGCCGAAAATTTTCTCTTTCTAATCTGCTTTCAAGATCATCTGGACTGATTCTTTTTAGTAATTATTAGCTATCGCAAGTCTTTCCTTAAGCAACCTGGTGATTGATGTGGTGTTATATCTTTCGCTTTGGGGTTGCTACTGTTATCCACCCAATATTGTGATTGAGCAAACCTTTTAAGTTGTATTTGTAATTTAGCCGTCTTTCTCAAGTTCTTAGGATTACTATGGACTTGACTTCGGGCAAATTTTTCTTGTATTAAGCAATCGTTGAAGTGACTGAATCGTTGAAGTGACTGCCAGGAGTGATATACCTGCTGCAAGAGAATACAGCATTAGCTATGGAGAAAGGTATGTTATATATATACAATATATGTATCCCCGAGAGAAGGTATATATTGAATATATGGAGAAACATATATAACATACCTTTCTCCATAGCTATGGAGAAAGGTATGTTAGGTATTCAATATAACAATATATGTATCCCCGAGAGAAGAGTCTGCAAGGAGTGCGCCAGCCTCGTGATTTAATGTTTTTTGGTTCAGATCGGTTTGCGCAGCCAGCATTTAGTTGTTCTTTGACCCTGATCTTTGATGAAGGCCGGTGCTAAAAATAGTCCTTGAGAGAAAAGTGAGTTGTGGAAAAAAAATGGAAAGAAAAGAAATGTTCCCAGAGTGAGATGACTGCAGAGATTGCTGCAGCTCTACTTGTGTTAGGGTATAATTTGCAGGATCCAAGTCCAAGGACTTGTAATTCAGGCAACTATGAGTCTGACCTCTCCCTCATGCAGTGTGTTATCAGTTGCCGAGAGTTCGTCGAGTCTTGGAAACACCTGAGGTCAATGGTGATATTCTCTCTCATTTGTAAGTGCACAACGATCAAATTCTGAAATCATTCGATGCTGGAAAACCTGGATCACCTGGCTCTATCGCAGTTGCCAGTGAAGCACAAAAAACTTTACCATTGATGTTTGAATGCACATCCAAGTTGGTATGTTAAGAGCTCCTAGTTACGTAATTATTTCATGAAGGTCTGGCTGCGGGAATGCCGCACTTTCGAAACATCACGAAAGTCGTCGTAATATCCATCATTTGTGAAGACAAAAAAAAGAATGTTTGAAAATGCGGGCTGTGATTATAGCATCCTAGAAATACAGTTCAACATCTATCAACGCGAGTAGCGGAATCAATTCCACCATTTTAAAGAATTTGCTAAGCAGCAAAACATCACGAGACACTCCATTCAAGCGTGGTAGCACTCCAAGCGCTTTTGGCAATCGAAGAATCAGTTGTATAATACATGAACAAGTGCCTAGTAACTAAACCGCCATATCCCTAAAGCTCTAATGCTGGTATTACAGCCTTCAACAGTTAACGGAGCTTCAAACAATGGCTCTTTTAACCTCGAGACACGAATAATACTAACATTTTACAGTTGAATGGGATGAACCAACTCCATTCAATTTTCTGGTTCTTCTAGAATTCGCAATTTCTTGGTAGATTCCGAATCACATTATGCTTGAGAGCAATCTTAGAACGAATGTATTCGGCCCTTCGAGAGGCTTTCCTTTGCTGCTCCTCTGGTTCATTGCGAAGGCGCCACTTTTGCCCGAGAGTAGCCAATCCCATGCTACTGTACCTCGCCACAAGTGCTTTTACCATAACACTATTACGTTGATCTGAAGGAGCAGGTCTTTGCCTAAAGTAACGCGCCATATCCCTTGATCCTATTCTCTTGCCAGTACCCTCTTCATCACCAAAACCCTTGATGACAAGCTCGTGACCTCCGGAAGATAATGATATTGCCGGAAAATCTACAGAAATAATTTCAGAGCTCTCTAGTGTTTTATAACTTGAACTAAAGTCATAATAAACCTCTAATTCCTCTTCGGCAATCCCTTCGCCATCACCATACCGTAACTTACAGTGACTTTTGATTATCATGTGCGTCCGTACTGCATTCAAACTCTGAAACTGCTTCCTTAGCTCATCACAGTAAAGACACATGTGACCTTTGGTAATCTTCAAACCAAGGTAAGTCAACATCCCTACTGTATCTTTCAAGTACTCAACATCGGGTATGAAAAACCCATGCTCTCTGTGCATGTGCTCTATACAAACCTCAAGATTGGAGGAGCTTCGGCCACAGAACAGACATCCATTAGGGTCCCAGTGTCCAGAGAGTGGACCCTCATTACACCCAGCTTCGTCCATCCCTACAACAGTGTCCCTGTCTTCTTCCTCACTGATATCCTCCTCATCGACTTCTTCCCATTCATCCTCACTCCCCTCAACCTCTTCCGAAATCTCCTTGTCGTCATGTGTGTTAATTTCCTGAAAAATTATAGCGGGCAGCCGCTGAGGAGCTGGTCGAGTTCCAGCAACGCCTAGTAACATTGTAAAGGTGACGTTAGCACTCACGGCGGAATCCTCAAAAGTACCAAAATAGCAAGAATAATTGCTACTTGGCAAGAATGGATCGAAATTCGAACAACCAAGACAACTACGAATAACATCCTCAAGTCTATAAAATTTAAACAAAAAAGTTATTTGTGGAAATGGTTCTGGAACTTGGAAAACTCTAAGACTGGAATTAACGAAGTATTTCTCCCATAAGTAGACAATTATCATAGAAACAGCAATACCTGCATCAGAAGGGGCATTTGAGCTAGCCGCCCGCGTAACATGAAGCTTGGATTCCAAGTGATTGGCGTGCGCCTTTGCAGTAGTATACTCCTTCCTGCACAGCGCACACTTGTACAATACCCGATCGCCTTCTTTCGTCTTCCCCTCAGCTTCAAGCCCCTGAATTCGGAGATTGTGGAGCGCTTCGGTAACCCCAGGCACTCCAGCTACCTTCCGCCGCAAATTGTACCGATGCCATTCGGTCTTGTAATGCTGCTTCTGCAGCTCTTTGTCGGCAAAGGTCTAGTTGCACGCATTACAAGCAAATCCTCTCATCATCCCCTTGTTCTCTTCCCATAAACACACCAAGCTACTCAAAACCCTTCAAAACTTCCTCAGTCGAACTACCCAATCAGAGGGAACCCAGAAATACCCAAGAAGGAAACTGGACTTTGAAAGCTTGTAAGGGTGCTGTAGTGGACAAAAGCACGCATTGACTCCTGGGAAGGTGCCATCGAAGCCCGTTAGATGTCGGTATGTTGAAGTGGGCTCCACGCGCACGCAACCCAAGAACAGCCAAATTGTTGACAGGTGCAGCAGGAGGTTCCGATTTTAGCGTTTCCGGGATGAAGATCCTTATTCACACGCTCGGATGGCAACAATTCCACAATCTCCACGTTGGTCCCTTCAAGGGCCACGTTGTCATGCAACTGGTCATGGTCGATCAGGTCAATTCTAATTGGTATCTAAATGGATATTTAAGAATCTAATGTCTCATGAAGGTTCTCGGTTAAAGTATATTCAATCTGTTCTGTCAGGAAGTAAAACGTCAAAAATCGATGTGTAGCTTGGTGAGCTCAAACTAAAAATCGAAACCTCTATACCCACTGTATTCGTATACATATGTTAGATGGATTAAAAATTAAAAAATTAAAAAATAAAAAAAAAGTCATTCACCTTAGTAGAATGCCAACCGGGGTCAACGGAATATCTAAAATGACGTCCTTGTCCCTGTGGACATCGTTTGTTTTACCCAGTTTCTAAACTTTCACTTCTCATTTTCCTGAGAGTCGTGGCCAGTGCACAAAAATCATTGCTCCATGCCACGTGAAGTCAGAAACATCAAGCCAAACCATCATCGTCGATCCCCGAATCCAAGTATAATCAGAGATCTTTGTGTGAATTTTAACTATAGGAGCGCAACAATTGATCCCAACCCTGGCGGTCAAGTTCCAGCCACATGCAGCTGCAATGCCTCCAGAGACAGACAAATTTGCATTGCATCGCACGAAAGCGAGAACATTTATTCTGCTGCATTTGAGGCACGTCTGGATTGGGTCCCGCACCTGGTCGCTTCTGCAGCAGTGTCGGTGAAGGAGAGGACCCTGTTCCGACTTCGTCACTTGGGCTCTCCAACACAAGAGCCATCTGATGACTATAAGATACCCTCTAATAACCTGATGTGTATCTGTAGACATTGACACCCTAGTATGGGGTTGGAGGTTATGGATACCGGGTCTCGTGCGCTTCTTCATTCCAGGGCGTTGTTCAGGGCCCTTGGCTATTCCCTGCTTCACTCACTCTTACCCCTTCGTGCTCGTGTTGCGCTGATCCGGCCGGCTTGTGGCGGCCGCCAGCCTTCCGAGTGCACGGCGCTCTTGACTTTCTCTGTGTTTTCCTTCTCCATTCTACAGTTACCTTTTCGGATTCTTGCTGTTTACTTGATCGTTAAGGCAAAATTGCTTTTCCTAAGGTTCGAGAGTATTTCGTGGCTTGGTCAATCGCTAATTGGAGTCGAGGAGGCGTGAGAGAGAGAGAGAGAGCTTCGGGACAAGGCCACCTCACGGTTCGTTTCTTGAGGTGAGATGTGGTTAACATATTCTTGAATGATTCGCGGCATGGATCTTTGAATTGGTTTGGCGTGGAATGTTACACTTATTGAAGCTTCCAGTGGAGTCTCTCGGAGCTCATTTCGTTGCTTGAGTATTCTTGGTCGGTGCTTGATTAGATGAAGAAAACGTGAAGTGCAGGCAGATATTTTTGTGAATATTTTTCTTTGAACTGCTTCAATATCGGGTGGATGCGTGATGTGATTTGTATCATCCCCGCCATTAACTACTTGGGATTGCGAGGAATACTTGCTCGTCAAGGTTGTTGCCTGTATTTTCTGAACGATTTGTGGACTAGCCTTGGATTTCTCAGTTCAGCAGTGATGTCGAAATTAAGCACGCTTCCCTTGCATGTGAAAACTAAAATTTATGTTTCGGATGCTCTATTCTCTGTTTCGCTTCCGCTCTTGGCTACCAGTTTTAGTCTGGTAAAGCAAATTCTTTGAGATTTTTTTTCTTTTTTCTTTTTTCGGTTGAGACAATTGTCTGCATCTGGCACACATTTTTGTATAGCATTTCCCCTGCAGCTTGTCATAATTTGCTGTTCAACCTATGATTTTGGTATATGTACGCTGTGAGGCTGTTCTCGCGTTTCAATCTTCTGTCTTGCATTGCATCTGTCTATATTGTGTTGTAGGTTTGGCTGACGATTAGTTCTACTACTGTATGCAGCTGTTCGTATCGGCGGCCGCATGGTATGAGCTCTGGTGTCCCAGCAAGTCCTATCCGCTGCATCTGGGAATCTTGTCATTCTTTCCACTTCATTTTTTTCGCTGAGACTTCTTGCAATATGGTTAGAGGATATGTGCAAGAGCATATCTACAGGCACCCATGGGAGCGGGTTACGGCCGCAAATTGGAGAAAGTATGCTGATCCTGAACACAGACCATTACTCTCACACGTTGTAGACGTTAGTATCGTGAATAGAACCGAGGATCAGGAGGGGGGCCAGCTTCTCACGACGCGATCAATAACTGTAAATACTCCCGGCCCCTGGTGGCTTCAGCGTCTCATGGGAACAAACGTGTGCCAATGCCTAGAGGAGTCCATTGTCGATAATGGTAAGCCCTTGTTGTCCATGTCAAGTACTTCTTCTCTCGCCTTAATTAGTTTTCATCAAATAGGGTTTATTCACTGAGATTGACACTGGCTTTGCTGTCTTTTAGGCAAGCGTTCCTTGGAAATGATTACTCGCAATGTAACTCTGAAAGACTTCGTTGATGTTGAAGAAAAATGCTCCTATCTTCCACATCCTGACAATGCAAACTGGACCCTCTTCAGACAAGAGACGAACATAACATGTGCGTCCATGCCAGCCCTGAAATCCGTAGCAGAAAAGATTGAGCAAAAGTGTGCTGAGAAGTTTCAGCAGAACAGTGCACGCGGCAGAGAGGTTGTAGAGTTTGTGTGCAAAGCTTTGGAACGGGCAGAAACAGCTTCAAAAGATCAGCCTCAGTTGGTTGTGAATTCCGAGCAAAGCTTTGACGCACATTCTGGTAGTCCCTGCAACACGAACGTGTGGAAGATCTTTGAAAGAGCTGAGTTCGTGGGTGCTACTTTGTAACAAACACTTCTTGAAGCGGTTACGACACATGCTTTTGGGGGCATTCTTGTTGCCTGTCACCTACGAAAGATTTGGTGAGATATTTTCAGGCATCATCTTGATTGTAATAGTTTACACACGGTACTGTATGTACTACGATTTTGCAATGGTATGGTATAGAAAATTCTTGTCAAGGTCATTCTTAATCCGAATTTGCTTCCCCCTTTGCTTGTGGGTTAATATAATTGACTATTACATTTGTGGGTGAAGTGGCAACCTCTCTTCATCCAACTCACATTTATGTTCAATATAATTTTTATTACTTATATTATTACTTCATCAATGTTAAGATTCAGTTCATTGTTGCGATCTCAAACAAAGCCAGTCCTCTATAATAAGTGATTCACTCTCGATGGAATGTAGTTTGACCAAAGGATAGTTTAGAATTGCCAATGCAAATGTATTGTTGACCATCATGAAGCACTATTAGGTTATTGAAAAAGTGATCTAAAGTAACTAAAAGTGGAATGAGGGCCTGTTCCGGAATGCGCAACATGCTTAAAATTTGTACTTTAAAATGTACAGATACTTTACTAAATACATGAGTAAGCAGAAGTAGGTTGAATCTTGTTTGTGTGCATTGATGTCAAAACAAATTGTATAAAAATCATCTTCGATATTATCTGTGATGTTCCAACATAATACATAGTATTAATCTCTGTGTTTTTTTCAAATAATAGCATTGGTTTCAAAGATAATTTTGCAAAGCAATTATCACAAAGGAGGCATGTTTTGTGGAAAACTTTAAAATTTGTGAATTTAGTTCTGATCTAAGATTACATTTCAATTATAACCTGTGGAATAAAAAAATCAATAAAATGTAATAGGTATGGTTTTTAGGTTTAAAGTCAGAATCCAATTATCAAATTACAAATGATTTGGTAAATTAGGGTTTAAAAACTTGAAAAAAGAATGATCTACAAAGTCTTCAGATTTTTTTTTCAGAATATATTGTAATAATTTGCTTATATTTCATTCAAATGGGAGCATGTTAAAGTAACCAAGGATTTTATTAAATCAATTCACCCATCATCATAAAGCATTTAGATTGTTAGCCTTATCTACATCATCATTACTCTAATCCACTTTTGCATTGATATAATAATGATTTTTTAAAAATAGAATTGGTATAATAATGGTCATGTAGTTGATAACAATAACTGCTTATCAATGACTATATTTAATGATTTTATGACTTTTTTCTATCTTTCATATTATATATTAAGTCAATGTATTGTTCACTTTGAATTATTCTATTATAATATATTTGATATTGTGTTTAGTATCCAAAGAGTGAAAAGAAGGTGGTGCGTAAGGTTATTTAGATTTTGTAATGGATAGTTTGTCTTTTATATCTCATCTACTTGAGAATATTTTTGATTTTTTTGAAGACATAAAAGAGAAGATAAATGACGTTGCTTACAGTCAAGGACACCTCATTTGTAAGTACAAGTTTGACAAAGATTGCATTGATTTTAAATGTGATAAGAGATAAGTTCATATTAGATGACTAAATCTCATTTGTCAATGGAATACAACAAGCTAAATAACTAGGTGTCATTTTGCATTGCATACAAAGTATTTACAAGATACTAGAAAATGACACTTAATAGTGCAAAATGGTGAATACAACCATGGACCTTTATGTCTTCAGGGACATGCATTTGTAAGACAATTTCAACCTGCAAAGAAAGACATGACACCTCAAATGAATGGAACAAGCGTTCCACCAAAAAATATTCTAATTGCCTTTTGTGAAAGGAATCCTACAAGTTGGATAATCAAATGCACTATTTATAATGAGCATCAAAAATTGCATAAAATTGCACTTGATGGTTATGCTCTCATCGTCTCTTTTATTGACACCTTTTAAGACAATACATACTATTATACTTATCAATGTGATGATGAGAATAAGGTAACATCTCTTTTTTTGCACATGCAAAAATATATTGAATTAGCAAAGAGATATGCATCTTCTATTGTTATAGACTACATTTATAAGTCAAATTGATTTAAAATACCTATATTGCAAATAGTGGGAATAACAACTTTAATACTTCTTTTATAATTGTTGTTAATTTGCTCTAAGAGTAAATATAAGTTTTTTTTTATTACGTGTTGATTCAATTATTCTAATTGTATGAAAATATAAGACCTATTTACATTGAATCTAATAAAGCTCTAGCATTAATAATTATCTTTGAAAATATTTTTTCTACTTATAATATTTTACTTTGCATATGGCATATTCAAAAAAAAATAATAATAAAAAAAATACAAGAAGTATTTTGCTATAGGTACAAAAGCAAGTTAGTCTACATTTCTAGCAAATTGGAACAATATTATAAATGCTTCTTCTAAATATTTTTACAATAAAAAGTGGACTATTCTTCCTACTAGGTATACTCCCACAATAACCTGTGCAATTATCACGCACTTGTAAAATACCTAATTATGACAAAAAAAAAATATATTTTATTAAAGCTTAGACAAATTATTAACTTCATTTTAAAATTGTTACTACTTCTAAATTTGAAGGTCAATATTTTATTCTTAAATTATATTTAAGAATTTTTACTAAAGATTTATAAAAAATACAATAACAAGAGAGATTAATACATAAGAAAGTTTAGAAAGGACATGTTATTAAAGACATAAATTTCAAAGAAAGAAAAATTTAATACATTCTTATGTCACTTGGAAAGAGTACATATTTATTCAAAATTAATATAATATTAAAATTAGAATGGATATTATCAAAAAATTAAAAAATTAAAAAATCTTAAAATAAGATTAAAAATTAGAAGGATATTAATAAGAGTGAAGAAGGATTCACTCTTGCCTCCATATATACTATCTAACTAGGAGCTACATGGCAATGTTTTATTAGACCTTTGACATGTATCCAACTTGCAAGACATGTGTCTTAATTTGAAAAATAAGTTTTTTATATGTAGACCACATAATTAGCTTGTACCACAACTTATAAATATGTGTGATATATAACTAATTTTTTAGTCAAGATTCTAATCTATCAATCAATTATAAATACATGTAAAATAAAAGCCACATCTATAAAATTTTTAAGAAGTTTTTTTACAAGATATTATCAAATAAATCTATTTTAATCTATTTTTAGCTATTTTTATTATTTAAATAATTATTAAAGTAAATATATATATTCATGATATTATTCCTCATTTTAGAGATGAATTCTACAAAGAACAATGATGTCATATTAATGAAGTCTAAGATACAAAAAAAAATGTATTTGTGATATACTCTGATCTTTATTTTCTTTAAAGGTAGTTGATATGTCCTCTTAGCCATCTAGAATGTCTCATTCTAAGGTAAGAAGGCCACCTTATTATTTGATTGTTGTTGAAACCTTTATAACTTCTTTCAAACAAAATATTTCAAACACCATCAAGACTCTTTCCTACTTCTAATGAAATCACCAAATATGGGGAATCTCTTCCAAGGTTATGATATTAAAAGCATTGTATCTTGCTATCTATTTAAGGAAGAACACAACATTCTTCAAGATCTTTATTTCTATTATATCATCTTCAAGGCTATGACAATTACAATGTCTTATGTAATAAGTCAACAAATAATAGCTCTTGAATTTAATCTACTGATTCTTGATTCTTCATCTTTTTATCGCTATAAATACATAAAAATTACAAATAAAGATAAAAGATAGAATATAATCTCTCATTTTTTTTTGTTTATTTTATAGTAAAGATTTGTTATTCTTTATCTTGATTTTAATAGATAGTGTTGATTAAAAGCATCAATCTTCTTTGCTGTAATTACAAAAAAATTAGCTAATTTCTATGTGCATTCATTCATATCATATCTTTACCAATGAATAAGATATTTTAATCTATTTTCACACTACCTTGAGTATAAAATTCCTTCTACCTTCAATCCTTGATTATTATCCACTTCTATAGGAAGAGGTGGCATTTATCTTCTTTTTAAGATATTTATTATCTTATATGATTTAATAAGAGACACATAGAATATAAAATAGATCTTTATAGACTGTGATAAATATAATTAATAAGAAATTGAATTGATTTGTTCACAAATAAAAAATGATTTAAATCTATGATAATCCAACTTGTTAGAAAGGTAACTAATCTTGATATTACAACAAAATAATCATACTTTGTCTTGAACATGAAATTGAAGTTATTCTTTGTGATAGACATCTATATTTGTCTATTATCATTATTGAGCTTCTTTTAATTGTGCCTTTATTGTTGTATGTAGCTCATAGAAATAATTTGTCAAATATTTTGTCTCACAATTATCAACTATTAAGAAATCAAAAGCATCAAATTATGGATGATAATTATAATTAATAAAAAAAATATGTTTATTGCATAGAAGAATATAGTATTTTTATATAAGTAAACTTTAATAATGGCAAAAGAATTATCCAATCATCTTATTGATAGTTGATGGTATATCTCAAATACTACTCTAAAACTTAGTTTATTTGCTCCATTTGTCTATTGGTTTGAGGATAAAAAGTCAAAGATAATTTTAAATCTACAATTAGAATCTTAAAAATAATCCTCCAAAATCTTGATACAAATTGAATCTTCCTATCTAATATAATATTTTTAGATAATCTATGATAGCAATAGATATTGCCAAAGAAAAGCTTAGCTATTTTTTTTATTTATGATAGATGTTATATATGGTATAAAATCTTAATAATGATCTATTATTATAATTATAAAATCATATGAATCTAAGATTGGAAGATCCATGATAAAATCCATAGAAACAAAAGACTATAGTTGTTTTGAAATAAATAATAGCTAAAGTAGTCCATAAGATTAATTATGAGGAATTTTTAATCTTGAATAAATGTCACATGAGTATAAAAAGTCTTTGATTGTCTTCCATATTTGAAGCCACAAAAAATCTCTAAATATTAGTTATAAAGCCTTATTGTATCCAAAATATTTGGTTGATGGAAAGTTATAATGAGCTTGAAGAACACATATTTGTGCTTTATCTTCTAAAATATATAATTGTTCTTAAAAATAGAGTAGATTATTTTTGAACTCAAACTTAGAAGTATCATGAAATTTTAAAAAATTATTTCTAATATCATGAAAAAAAAAAATCAAAGGACATATTTGATTGAATTCGCTTGAAAAAGTTTCAAAAAGCTTCTTATTTTTTGAATTAATAAGTGATCTTGATAAAGACATGCTTCAATAAGCTTGGCAACAATTCAAAATACAA